AGGTTTCACTGAGGGGAAGGAACATCGAAGTGAAAAAAATTCGAGAGTCGGAGGGGGTACAGAGGAGTGTTTCAAAGATGAAAAAGAGACAAGCACAAAGGTATAAAAAAAGGTTAGGTGGGTACTGTGGAAGTAGTCGATTATGACATACAGTGGGATCACGGTAGTTTGAAGTCAGAAGCCAACTGCTGAATAGTAGACTTTTTTGCCATATGAGTATACGTTGCCCAGGGTGCACCACGTGGAGGTAAATCTATCGAACACCCCCTATGACAGCACATAAAATCAGCAGAGTTGTGATCATGGCAGTGAGATGACATCATAGCTCATCTTTTCCATATTTCAGTGTTATCAATACTTCCACTACTCAACTTCACGTTTGTAACTTGAGGAATTGAGACTATTTCGTCAGCAAATTATTATTTAAACTTAAAATTTACTAACCACAGTATTTACGAGAAACGCTTCAAGCTAAATCTTGGTATTACTACAAGGACTCAACTTACACTAGATGTAATGGAAACAAAGTCTGCGACACAAAAAATCAATTCTAACCAGAAACCAGGAAAGGAACCACGTGACAAGGAGAAACTTGAAAAATGGCGCTCTGATATTAGTAAATAGGTATATAACTAAATTGAAAAGAGATGAGCTATCAACAGAACTTTGTTAAGAAAGCAATTTATACAACATGGATCATTTCAAATTGGAAGAAAATGTCTGTCGTGAGGTGACTCAACACAGCAAAGAGATAAAAATACAAACTCAACTTACGGGAAGCAAAGACGCAAGAGTGGAGTCGAGGGTGTTCATAAACACAATCACCTCCAATTTCGGACCCAAACGATTGACTTTGCAGAGATTCAGGAGCAGGCGGTCTTCATCAGTCAACTGATCAACAGATTGGCCTTCAGTGAACTCGTAGTTAAGATACATTCGGGCCTCCTCTTGTGTTGGCAGTTGATGCAAGATGCGGTCCGCAACATCCAAGCTCACATTCAAATTCGTGATACTCTCCCACAGCTTCGTGAGAGTGAATTTCTCCGATTCGAGATAGCGAAGAAGGATGCCCATACATCTACAAGAGACACCACATTGCGATAGTGTAGCAGTTTACTTATCTAACTTCTCACTCAAAAATAAGTTTTCTTTGCAAAAATAAATCGCCTCAACTTCGTTTTGTTTTAATTAAACATTTTCAAATTGTCTCTGTGTGCATGTTTGAGAGCAGTTTTCAGGAAGCGAAGATAATCCCGGAAGGTGGCTAATTACTACTTTATTGAAATATGTAAAGACCCAGTATCATTGGGCAAATTATGGCTCCATACATGAGAATAAATTTGTCTCAGTGATACCCTCACTACTGTCTACTGTTATCTGTCACCTCAAATTATGCCTCGAGAGAAGGGAACCTCAGGCGAGAATGAGAAACCTACACAAGATCATGTCATTCACAATTCTACGAACTCGTCTACCACAAGATATCAAGAAGATGGAGAAAACACCACAATGGAGGAGCTGTTAGCCGTGTCGCTAGCTGGCAAAATGTCCACTCACATTGCAGTGCAGAGCTTATTGGAAAATTAAAGAATAGTATTAAAATACGAGCCAAATATCGTTGAGTTTGTCTTCAAAATCTACCATGAACGATGTCGTATGATAATGCTCTCATAAAGTTAATAAAGAACATGAGTAGAATGAGCCAAACACAGATGATGCCAATTCCAGCGAAATGTGTGATGATAAGAATCAAGTGATAGATAGAAACCAATTAAGAGTACTATTAAAGTTAGTATATAAGGAAGGAGAATGTGAAAATACAACGATTTATCTCGGCGATCGAAGACGAAGAAAAAGATGCGCACAAGACAAACAAATCCGGTAGATTCCAGTACCGACGTAAAAGGGTGTTTGCTCGACATGGCAGAAAACATAATTTCCACTATCGTAAACAACATGGAGTCATGTCCAGAGGAGAATCAATGCCCAGAGGATACCACAGAACCCGATACTGATGCCGATGGTACCACTTCTGGCTGCGAATATCGCGATTGCATCATAAAGATAGTACAAAAGTTGAGTCCTGAGTTAGGAGAGTGCATAAAGTCATGTGCCGACAAAATTCAATGCCCCGATGATGAAGGCAAACCTTGTCCAGATTCACAGACACAACCAGACTGCTCGGAAAATGTTGAATGCGAAATAAAAATGAACCTACTCAAAATAACACAGAACTTTAACTCCATTCTCGAAAAATACATTGGGTTAGGTAGCGGAGAAGCTCCAGAACCTGAAAAACCCTCAGAACCCGATCTTGATGTCGACAGCACAAACGCCCTCAATTTCATCAAAAAGGTTCTCCAAAAGTTGTGTCCTGAGTTATCAGCATGCATGGAGAAAAATGAGGACAAAAATACGTCACCCGACGATCAAACCAAGCCATGTCCAGATAAACCCACACAACCAGAGTGCTCGGAAAATATCGACTGTGAAATTAAATTGGCACTACTCGAGTTAGTTCAAACCTTCAACTCCATCCTCCTAGATAGTACAGAGCCAGGTGATGAGGAGTCCACAGACCCTGAGGATCCCTCAGAACCTGGTGATTTCGAAGAATGTGAAATTGATCCAGACGATACCACTTCTTGCTCCGATTATCGTGATTGCATCATCAAGTTAGCACAAAAGTTGTGCCCTGAGTTAGCAGAGTCCATGGGAGCAAGTGGTGACAAAAATTCATCACCGGACAGTCAAACTAAACCATGTCCTGATAAACCCACTCAACCTGAGTGCTCTTCAAATATCGACTGTGAAATTAAAACTTCCATTCTCGAGTTGGTTCAAAACTTCAATACAATTCTGTTAGATAGTAAAAAGCCAAGTGGTGGTGAGGGAACGACAGAACCAGAGAATCCCTCAAAACCCGATCCTAATCCAGACGGAAACTCCTCCTCTGATTATCTCAATTGCATCAAAATGTTGTTGCAAAAATTGAGTCCAGAGTTAGCCGAGTGCGTGAAGACATGTGCTGACAAAACTCCATCCCCCGATGATCAAAATAAACCCTGTCCAGATCAGCCCACTGAACCGAAATGTTCGGAAACTGTTGAATGCAAAATTAAAATGAATCTACTCAAATTGGCACAGAACTTTAATTCCATTCTCGAAAAATACCTTGGAACAGGTGAAGGGGACACTTCAGACCCTGAGGATCCTTCAGAACCTGAGGAACCCTCAGAACCTGATACAGATCCCGAAGAGCCTAACCCAGGCTCAGATTTTCGCGAATCTATCCTCAAATTAGTTAAATATTTGTGCCCTGATTTGGCAATGTTAATTGAGACATGTACTGGGGAAGTTGCCGGCAATCAAATGGACTCTGGTCTTCTACCATCTATCCCAGGCTTAACGGATGAGACCTACAATATACTCAGAGAATCCTTAATCAACTTGTTACTGGTCGTATACCCCGAACTAGCCCCATGTTTTGAAACAGATCCAGATGACAACGGCGATTGCGGAACAGAACCAGAAATCCCCGATGTTCCTGATCCCAATGAACCAACAGGATGCACTAGTGTGAAACAATGCCTCAGGCTTCTTTCTGAGAAATTAAATCCTGAATTGTTCTGTGCTTTGGAAAACTGCACTCAGCAATGTCCTTGTCCACAACCGATGCCATGTCCACCAACATGCTCTTCGCCATGCCCACAGCCATGCCCCCAGATATGTCCTCAGCCCATTTGTGATGACGTTCCAATTGAGGAAGCTAATCAATGTCTTCTCACAATTGCCAACGCCCTTCGTGATCAACTTGACGACGGGACGGAGCAAATCTGTCCATGCCAGCCACAAGCTCAAGCATCAGCATTCAGACTACCTTCGTCTCCCGCGGCTATAAGATCACCAGCTATATCATCTGCCTTAACTGCCAGGTCGATCAGACCAGCAACACCCACCAACATTCTAGCACAACGAGCCAATCTACTCAAGAAACCGCGAGTTTTGAGACCCGCAGTATCCAAGACTGTCAGGTTTGCGAAAACTGCAAGAGCCTATAAACCGCGACTTCCACTTATTCCCAAGACCTTTCAAACTAGGTCAATTAGGATGAGGCCAACTCGCTCACTTCTATATACAAAACTCGGCAAGCCAGTTAGACCAGTGATAAGCAGGTTGAAAACCACAAGAAGTCTCCGACGTTATTAAAAAAAAGATAAAAAACCTACACTCACCAAGCCAGCACTTCTGTCAACAACATCAAAACTCCATCTTCACCTTGTGTAACTCGACCACACAAAACTCCCTGGTTGCCACAATAAATCCAACGATTCCGTACAAATCGTTGCTTATTCATTAGTAGCTGACTGAATTAGTCATTTGGTCTATTTCTATCCTGTACTTCCGTTATGTACTTCAATTTATTAAGTATATTAACCGCTCAAATTACCATTGTCTTATTTTTACAAACACCGCACTATTTAAAATATTCTGATTGAAGTTCAAAATGCCGATCAAATCAATCAATAAAGCTGCCATTCAGTGTTGTTATGCCCTGTTTACAGTCGATTATTATGGCCCCACTTTATGTACAATCATATTGCATATCTTGTTACGACATTAAGTTTGCCAATACCAATAAGTCCGGTTGCAACAACATCGTACCAATATTGCGGAGTATACAAAAGTATGAGGAGCCTACAACTTCATAATTGAATTGAACCATCCCACCTCCAAGGTCTTACTATAACTCCTATTTCATCTCCACATTGTTTCCGCATTTCACTTCCACCACCATTCACTTCTGAAGGTCACACATTAACGCAAACATTTCCTCTTCACTTTGATGGACTGTTATGAACAAACAACTGTATATAAATCAAAACAGTGGTTGCATGCCCATTGAGAAATTGTTAAACATCATCACAATTCTGTTTTATCCCTCGAATTGAGAACACATTCATAGGCAAGAGACACCAATCTTGCCTTCAACCTTAAGCAACCCGGATAAATTTAAACTTATTTCAAGATGTGCATGGAGGGGGGGATTGAGGGTGAGGGGGCAGGTGGGGAAGACACTAAATACACGCAGAACGTTTTTTTATACTAGCGAGTACAACAAAAAGTATAAGCAAAACTCCAGAATAAATAATAACGAGATTAAAGAAAGTAACTGCAACACTATCTCTTTCACTTCACCTCCAATCTGATATCGCATCAGCATAAGTCATCACCAAGGCACTGCAAACACTTCCCTTTTTAACCCTGTAATGACATTCAACTTCTGTAGACCTAATTCAGATGAAACAATTCCCACACTACAGCAAATATCGTCTTCCACCAACACCATGCAGCTAATGTTCTCCAATTCGGTCCTGAAACGTTTCGAAATCAGCTACCACTTCGAAATAGGGTATTTCGAAATGTTTTCATCTGAACTTTAGAGTTCATGGTTTGATCCACCTCAACGAACAATTCATCACTACAAATTTGTTGAGTTAGCAAATCTAGGCACTCCGCTTATCAAATTTCTCCAGGTTCAAACTACCGCGATTCGCCGATCTACTATATCCATGATGAAGTCTCTGTGAACGAAATAAACAATCGAAGGCGAAATGTTTATGCGAACGAACACAAGAAAGGTACAATGCACTATATAGAGATCCAATACATACACTTGAAAAGGTGGTGTCGCAATAAGAGGCTTTGATATGACTCTGAATGGTCTCTGGATAAAGTTAACCATTTGAAAGACAAAAGATTGTTATTTGTGAAAGGCACTTTGTAGTTTCTTATGCATCTGGTAAAAGCAAAATTCGAAAGAAATTTTGTAGTGCTATTTACTGCCTTTGATGTTTTAAAATAAACTTAATCAAGCCCGTCAAAATGTTTACTACTTCTAAACAAAACGTGACACATGAATCAAATCAGACCGGAATTGGTGCTTTTTCGAGCTTTTACAACATTAGTTTCATTCAAATAGACGACATGTCAATAACCGATCCAAACTAGGATAAAAACCACTAAAGAATAATCTGACCTTTTCATTAAATCTCCTTTGTTATATGAGTCATTGACCACGGACGTTAAGTTTAAATGACTGATAAAGGAATTGAGGCGGCGTTATGAGCAAATCAGCAATAAATTATAGACAGTATTGAGGCATAATGAAACGGGATTCACAAAAGCATGCTAACAAAAATCCCTTGAGTATTAGCCTTGACAACGTTTGCTCTTTCACGTGGGTGACAATTAAACTGGATAGCAAGGATAAATACAACAAAATGCATTGTTTATTGAAATAGTAAAACTAAATGAGTGATTCGAGAGTGAAAACTAAATAGGTAGCTTATGAGTATGGTGGTGGTGGTGGATGTGTACTATTTCATCTGTGCCATAATAGCTTCGCATTAAATAACGAACACATTCAATAGGATGGACAGCGCTAGTAAAGGGAAAAAAAGATTTTTTACTAGCATTAGCACATATGCAAGGTGTAGTGAATCAGGCTGACCAATCAATTAATTAACCCATTGAGTATATCAGAGAATCCTGGTAGCAGTACCAAACTTATAACCCCCTACCAAATAGAAACTTACAACACTAGTACCTGTCAATCCACATCCATTGTTATGGATGACTAAATACAACTCGGTCAACACGCCAAGGGTGATTAGGTGTAAGATTCTCAGAAGAATGGGCCGATGACATCTACCATTTGCTTATGCGATTGCTTTAGGAAGTCAGCGTTTGACAAATCAGAAAGTAAATCTATGGGCACTCAGTAATTAAAATCGTCAGACACACACACACACACATTAGCATTTAGAAATGTGTTTTAAGTTCGATAAAATTCTGAGATATCCCCTCAACCTGAATAAAGAGAGTATATAGAAAAACTAATACAAATAATCGACTCACCTGAGGCGGCTAGCATCCATAAGTCGTTTCTTTGCGACCTTCTTAGAAGTTACGGAATTGCGAGAATCACCGTCTACCACGGTTGTAGAATCGGGAGCATTTTCACCATTACCGGTGACCGATTTACTTTCATTAGGTGCCTTTGAAAGAATAGAATTCGAGGAGAGACGAAAGAGTTCTTCAAAACGATCCATATCCAGTGATTCAATAATCTTTTCATCGTTCATACCGACGAAGATGGTATTGCGGAGTTGTTGACTACGAAGCACACTCCAATTCATCAGTGGTAGCTTGTAGCGCGTTTGATAGGGTTGTCGAATAGGTACAGCTGCAAGGAAAACAACAAAACACTTGGATATACTACTTAATGTGGATTTAAGGAGATGTGAAACATCATTTAGATCCTAATATCACAACTCGCATCACCGTCACTCATTCGTGCGTGAAAAGGCATAAAGAGTTGACTCTGTATGTGACCCACATACAAAAATATACATGTGTTTGAAGAGTGCGGTTACCATAGCAAAGGACACCCACTACACAAAACCGCGACAAAAATTTACGTAGAACAGAACTATGGTCGATTTGCCAAATAAATTCAAGTCACGAGGGCGGCTTTATTTGAATAAATGCAAGCAGTGCCATGGCATAAATCATTATCCCAATCAATTTTGCTTCCTGACTCAGGCTAACTGGCAATTTTGGAGCACTAAGAAGTATTTTAAACAGCTGGCTATAAATGACGCCTTTATTGACAGTAACTGCCTTAATTAGATTGGCAATTACTAAAAGGGTGCACGGCTTCCAAACGAAGAGAAGATATTATAATTAGCGTTTCCGTATTTTGACATTCTTCCCTAACTTAGAGTTATAAAGTTCAGAAAATTATATTCATGACAACATTTTCTTTCCCTTTCATTGGTGTAGGAATTCATTTTGGGCACTTCTTTGAAACTATACACTCGGAGGCACAAATGGAAGTAAGTAGTGCGATAGCGTGGACAGCCTCTTCTTCGCACACTTAATGCAACCCATAGGAAGACGCGACTTGCAGTCATCCGAGTAGAAATTAATACTACTTAGGCGAATATTTTTCTCCTATTATTAAAATTTACAGAAGGTAAAACCCTACCCCCCCCCCCCCCCCCCCCACCCATCATCCCTCCTCTCCCCTATTACGTTCCCTCAAAAAGGGTGCCCTGCACACCTTATCTAATTGAACAAATAGACCTACAAGACAGAAAGAGGTCCTTGTGTGTGTGTGTGTGTGTGTGTGTGTGTGTGTGTG